AACACAACATAATTTTCCTGTCCGCCTGTTGTTGTTTTGTTTTTGTTTTTTCTCTTTATGTTTAATTACAGGCTGCTTTGCTGGCCCTGAAAGCCGAGGCTGACCTGGACTCCTGCTCTCCCCTCTACCATCTTCGATGTGACCCTGACCAAACGTTGCAGCAGCTGGACCCACAACAACAACCTGAGAATGTCAACAGTACTGCAGGAAAGCAATCTCATGCAGAGGAGACGGAGAGCGTTAAACCCAAAGCTCGTTTCACTACATGGGGGAGATTTCCAGACAGCTTCAGCTGACAGAGCTGTGACGGGACGACCATTAAGCCCGAATGAAAAGTGGGGCTGAGCAACAGAATACTGTGCTTGACAACTCTGCCTTAACACTGTGCAGGACAGTGATGCCAACACGGCAGCAGAAAAAGGCGTGCCAGAGACAGGAGGAGCAACTGAGGTCAGAAGGCACCTCAGAATGGACAAAAAACACAGAAGAAGATGCAGGTTTCACCTGCGGTGAGCATGGACACTGGAGAAAAGGACTGCCTCATTTGTGGCCAGAGCCAGGATGGACTGAACTTTGAACAGCAGCAATGGTGGCAAACAGACTGAAAAGGAGGAGGGCAGGACCCCAGGGCACGCTTCAGGCCGTGTTTTACCCAAAACACCAGAACAGGAAAGTGATGAACACAAACACACACAAACACACATCTAAATACACTGACTTAGAATGAAGAGAAACACACTCATGAACACATGTGCACTCGTTGATTGAGTGAGAAATGACACACATCTAAATCGAAACGCTGATTCAATTCATTGAGAAATGATCCACATACAAATACACATGCACACGCTTGTGCAATGAAGAGTGATGCACACACACACACACACACACACGCTGATGCAATGAAGAATGCTTTGCTAACAAATGCTTATGCTGATATTCAAAATGCTGCACACAAACATCCAAATATAGAATTGGTTACAAGAAGTCATTGATTACTAAGAAAGTGTTTTATTATTGGGTAAATGTGTTTTATGTCACCCGGAGGGCATTTATGTAGCTTTAAGGGACAAGGTCTAAAATTGTCTGGTTATGAAAAACAATGTCTGCGCGTGATGTCTGTGTATGGCTGCTCAAGGCCTCGACTGAATTGTTTACTGTGCTTCACACAGCCTGATGAGGAGCAGTGGTACAGAGTGAAAATGATGAATTAATGGTGTGAGTTTTATTTTCGGAGCGCCACATTTTCTGTGATTGAGATTTAATTCAAGGAGGAACAAAAGTTGCTACGGTACCTGAGGTTCTCATTCCCACACAATATTGTCCCGGCAGGAAGCAAAACTTTCCTGTGAATTTCTGGTTGATTTTTGGTTTTTGCTTAGTACTAGGTTGATTTTATTAGTGAGGTTTGAGTTGTTTTCTTTCTCTGAGAGAGAGAGAGAGAGAGAGAGAGAGATGGTTTTATGTTTGGACATGTCAACGGGCCCTACTATTTGGTATTTTATTAGTATTTTAGTGGTTACGTTTTTTTTGCTTTTGTTACAGTGCACTGAGATAAGAAAATCTGAGAGGTGTGATCCACCGGTGGTGATATTTTGGTATTTTGTGAGGGCCTGATTTAACAAATCAGCTCTTTAAACCAGGCCTGAGAGATTGAAATTTAAAATGAAATGTTTTTACTGAAAACAGTTGCAAAGTGTGCTTCTCCATGATTATAATGGGCTCTGGAGAAATTCACTTATGAGACACAGATCACATGAGATAGTCCTGAGTCTAAAAGGATTGCAGCGAGTCAATCCAGTCCAAAAAAAAAAAAACAAGGAATTGTTTTCTTTTTAAAATGATGACGTCATCTGTGCAATAAAAACAGTGTGCAATAAAAATACACTTATTCTTCTTTTTTATTACTAAGTTATTATATTGTGTTGTGTTGTTTGTGTTGCGTTGTGATGTGTCATATCGTGTCGTGTTGTGTTATATGTAGTGCCGACGTAGGACAGTTTTCCAATTTCATTGTACTATTGTACTATGTATGACTGTGCAATGACAATAAAGACTTATCTTATCTCTATCTTATCTTATCTTGCTGGTGATGGATGCTCGAATAGATTACGCGTGAGACTCCATTATCAGCAATATCTGGTATGAATGTGTGTGGAGGTATGCATGTAACTGGACTGTGATGGACTGACGACTAAAAGTTTTAACTGACTTGATACTGAGACAAAAACGGTACCGACTTTAGGATTAGTGAATGTCCACAAACAATTCATCCAGCCTCTAAAAGAAGGGTGGATGTTTTGTCTTGCTTTGTTTTGTTTTTGCAGGAGCAGAAGGATGACAGAGACTAGAGGGGGAGACTGTAGCTGCACATGAGAGTGTGGAACTGCAGACTTAACCCTTTGGTTGCTAATTTTGAGTTACTGATGTTTGCATTAAGAAAATTGTGTTTTATTAGCTGTGTTTTAATTAAGGTATCACATTATATTGTTGGAAATATCAAAGGCTACAGTGGAGAAAATATGTTACTATTAACCATAGCAGGCCACTGTAAAAAGTCAATTAACTTTTATAGAGAAAAAAGCCAAAACTTTAACAATACCTTTGAATAACAGGGGAATGATAGACTTGTTACATTCAAAATAGAGATATGTAATAACAAACACTGGTCCGTGTCATTTAGGTTCTCCATTGAAATAGTCAATAATTTAGAAAAGTAGAATATAACCAACAGGGGCATGTGATAGGATGTGGTACTGCAAGAGAACAAGAGCAAATTAAAGAAAGAAAACCTATTGTGTTTAGTTTTGATAAATTAAAATTAAAATGTACCATTACACTCAGGATCAATATGAAATCAAAATATATGCAAATTCTGTATGAGGCACATGACTGATAACTGTTCTGTCCTGAGCTTTTGTTTTTACAGCACCCACTTGACCACACCAACAGTTTTTCGCCACCAAAGGGGTAATTGCAAATATTCAAGGGAGGAATATCACCAAAGTGGGAAAGGTAAGCCCCGATGGGGGTGATAACACCATAAATGTCACCTATGGTCAAATTCTTAAAATTTGACACCAAGCCTAAAAATTCTCCAAAATTTAGAGACAGGGTGGAGCTCTAGATAGACATAATGTAGCAAGCCACATGAGGATGAAGTGTTGGAATCTATAATATGGGGAACCTACACTCAGTAAAAAGCTGACCATGTTGATTATGTTTATTCCAGTGTGCAGAGATCGGCTATTCTGACCAGGAAATGTAATAAACAGAATTGTCGGAACAATCGGCGTCAAAAGTCACCTTTGACAGTCCAGACTGGGATGGCATTGGACATCCTCAGGGTGGAAAAGGGTTGGTGTGACCAAGGTGTGGTTTGGCTTGTTGTATGTATATTTCAAAATGATACAGCTCTGGAGGGACCAGTTACCAGCCCATGGAAGGATGACTTTATTAAATAGGAGAAGGAATTTTCTGGGATTGATGATCCTCTGGGTAAGTGGTTGGCTAAAGCATGCATAAAATAATCATTTTGTTATTGATTGGTAATAGATTGATAATAGGCCACATTCACAGCTGTATTGACTTGTTGTGGACGCAGTCTACTTCATGTTTAAGCACTCTAATTAACAGATTGAAAATAGTGACATCAAGGGAAGAATATGCAGCACCACACTATCAGATGCCAGTGACGGTTGGGCTCAGTGATAAATCAGGTGAGCTGGATTCATGGCTGAATCAAGACAGATTCCCCTGCTGTGGTCAGTGAGGGAAAAACAGTGAAAAAAAAAAGAAGAAAAAACGGCGTTTCAAATGTGAAGTTCATATTAATACGGATTTTGTTTCTAGGCAGTTCTGCGGACGCAGGCTCTGGGTGGAGCCAGGAGTTTAGCAGATTTAACATAATAACTAAACTGATTTCATTCCCTAACACAGGATGACAAGACTGGGGCAACGATACTCGAGAGGAGAATTTCTGATACTTTCTGAGATATGATGTCACTAACCTTTTCTTTTGATTTCTAGCTCCAGGTGAATTGACACACGGGAGTGTGTGGGACACATTTCACTGCGTTTTGTACTTGTATAACCATGCATGTGACAAACAAAGAATCTTGAAGCTTGTGTCTTGAATCTTGGTAAGACAAAAGAGGATTATGAGGAAATATGATGAAATATTTTGTAATAGTAGGAAGTTTTGGAATAATTTTCCTCATAAACCAAACAAAATGACTCACAAACATGGTTTTGCAAACTCAAGGTTGAACTTTGACCAGCAGGATAACCCTGATGTTTAAAGTCAAGCATATTTGGATATTTTACACAATAATGGATCAGTATAACATCAGCCTTATGTCTGCTATTTAGTGTCACCACAACTTTCACATCATATTCATCTCAGTACAACGAAAACATACTGACTGACCTCAGAGTTTCAAATCGACATTGTGGATTCTCCAGAAGAACACACAGCTGCTTCACACCTGAATCCTGCAGGTTGTTGTTACTCATGTCCAGCACTATCAGATGGGAGGGGTTGGACTTCAGCACTGCTTCCAGATAATCACAGCTGATCTCTGACAAATCACAGCTCTCCAATCTGTATAAAGAATGAAAGATGTAAGTTTATTAGACAAAGTGTGAGCTTGAAATCATTCAGTGTTTCATCATCTGTTCAGAGCTGAAGAAGGTTCAGAATGTAGAAGTTTAGAAAATGGAAACTCCAAACAGCTGAAACCAACAGGAAGCAGCTTCAAAGAAACACCAATAGAGACGAAAAAAAAAAGAAAAAAAAAGTGTATTTCAAAGACAGTGTTACTGATGATCATCTTCCACGCATGAGTGTTAATGATGCACAAAATGCAGTGAGTGCAAAGATGGAGCAAGGAGGATGACAGAGAGACATCAAGAGCATCAGGAACCCAGCAAGGAAATGAGCAGAAGAATTTGAGCCTGTTGGATTGAAGCTTTCACAGAGACGAGTTTTGCTGGACATGGCCAGGACACAGACTTTTAATCCAGAAATTTGGATGACTTTTCTGTCTTTATTTTTCACAAATGATGCTGTAACTCTGTGACTGTCCCGGAATTTTCAACAGCATGATTACGTCCTTTTTACCTGAGTTTCTACAGCTTGTATAACAACAGTATACATTCACCTGCAGGCACACGCTGCCTCCGCTTCAGCTCTTTTTATGATGCACAAACTACAGAAGCCAAACTTAGACTGGCTTGTTTCAATCATGTCTGCTTACAAAGACACTTTGAAACTCTTATCAGTATGTTTCAAACTCTGGACCTTTGCTTTGGACCAGTAAAGGATGCTTAGAAATCCCTCCTGCTGCCTCATCTTGAACATGATCAGCACTTTAACACTGAGCATAGGGATGTGGAAAAGGCCTTCTTCTCTATGAGAGGAAACAAGTGTCATGGACCTAATCTTTCTGGCAGTTTACTCCGAGTTATATAACCACAGAAAAAAAATAATTCTCAAGAACCTGGCCCACAAAACTGTCACTCAGGTTCAAGTGTTCTAAAAGCCCTCTGATGAAAACATCAGGCTGGTTTCTTAATTCCTCCCCAGAGGGATGCTGCTCTCACCCTTATTATTCAACCTGCAGGTAAATGTGTGTGAGAGCAGCCACGGCCCGCTCCTCCATGGTTTCATTCACACTCATCTCATACTGAACACACACACTTTGTAGGAATCATCAGTACTTTGACTGTTTCTCAGGTTAACTTCAGGTTAGCCATTTAGCATTTCTCCAGTCTGAGTCACAGAGTGTCACATGACGTCACAGAAGCTGATTGGTCAGCTTCAGTGATGGTGGTGGAGCAGTATTAATGATGATGCAGTAGAACAACAGGAATACGGGGATATAAGACTGTTAGTGGGTTTAGTCATTTCTACTGCACTGTTTGTCCTTCTTATTGAAGTGACCTGCTAAGAGCTCACACTGTTCTCTGTAGAAATGATGTCAATATGACTCATCAGATGTTTGGAGGCATGTTTTATGTTTGCTCTTCTGGAAACTCTCAGTATAAAATATGGAATATGAAAAGGAATGGAGACACCTTTCAGTCTTTATGGACCAGTTTCTGTACCTGCCACCATCATTCTACATGTTTGTACATAAGCTTATAAAATCCTGTGTACTGTTAAAGACTTTATTTATTACTCTTTGCCTGCTTCACTGTCACTGTGTGGGCAGAGCTGCCTGAGTCCCGGCAACACAGAAGCATCGAAACAGCAGACAGCTCTGCCTCTTTTCTTCATCCTCCATCTCTCTTTTCTCTTCTTCAGTGTTCTGCAGCCACGGAGCCTCACAGCCGTTAACAAACCCATACCTGACCAGCTAGCATTACCTAGCATGCCGTCCAGCAGTGTCAGTTTAGAGCAGGGATTGGAAACCTTTTTGATGATGAGTGCCATCTAAAATTTCCTCAGAAGTCAATGTGCCATATGATTGCATTAGCAATAAATTTAATAACGCTCTACATGAACAGTTACACACTATATAAAACAACTTTAAAGAATTATATTTGTTCGCAGATGTTGACGGCTGTCAGCGAATAGTTATCAGCTATTTTGAAACCAAAAAAAACACTTTTTATCCATATTAGCAAATGATCTGTACATCAGAAAATGCAAATGCTATTTATGGTCTCCTCAGAACAATGAAAACAAATGCTGTTGTGACAGTGATGTACACCCTCTTGTTGGTATATGTGTGATTTCTATACATTTTACATCAGATGAAAACTTTGGTAGTAAGATTCAGATAATTATTTATTAAAAAACTAGACATTTTAAATGAGAATAAGGAAGAAAACTATTTCTTTGTGCCCCCCTTTCCCTGTTAATGCCCTACCTGGCCCATGGCAAAACTTTGCTAGACCCGCCCCTGCACAGTTACCAGCTGTCACATACTTAGAAAAGGATCCTGGTGTTATTTGTCTCTCAGAAACAGTTCATAACTTCCCTTCAACTCATTCATGTCACCTAAAAGGTAAACCTGTTTCTCCATCATTTGTTCAGCTCTGATGATTCAGTAAGGACATCTCCTGGTTTCATCTTCATGTTTCCCTCTCACTAGATATCCAAACCGACGTCATGACTATCAGCTTTTACAGCTGTGGCTCCAGCAAACTTCAACTGATACTAGGAATTAATATTAAATAAATTCTAACAACAGCTGATCAAGCTTAAACGTGCTGCTGTTGTTTAGCGTGACATCCTTTGATTTCCTCTTTCTGGTGCAAAGTCGGTGATAAACAAACAAGAGAGACGGGACTTGCGTCAGAAAAGCAGATCAGCTGATCATTGATCAGTTTCATGATTGAAGTAGCAACAGGAGAGGGAGGGGGAGAGAATGAGAGAAGAAGAGGAAACTGACAGCGTAACGACAGAATAACTCCAGCTAAAGTCCGGGACAAACTGTGTTCCTTTTCGGCACAATACGAAACGCGTAATATTTTCGGGACGATTCCATTTTTTACAGGATGGTTGGCAACTCTACTAACTAACCTTATGAATAAAATAATCCAATCCACCACCTCTCATTGTTCATGCCGTTACAAA